TCTCCCGAGTCCCATCTGATTGGCTGGGTCTTCTTTGGTTGCCCTGCACAGGAGAATGGAGCTGGAAATAGGTTAAGTGGGGTAGAGAGGGAATGGCATTTTGCAGTAACCTTGCCCCAGGAGTGGGGAGGGAATGGGGATTTTACAGTATCCTTCCCTTGGAGTGGGGAGGAAATGGGGATTTTACAGTATCCTTCCCTGGAGTGGGGTGGGAATGGAGATTTTGCAGTAACCTTCCCCAGGAGTGGAGCAGGGCTAGAGATTTACAGTATCCTTCCTCTGCCACGCCCACCAAGCCACACCCACAGAGCTGGTAGTATTATTTTTAATTCCACCGATTGCGAACAGCTTTGGAGTCTTTACATCGGTAGTCTACATGTCCCTCTTTGGAGCTCACAGTACTAGTAGGGTATCTGATAAATTGCAAGGTGTATGAGTTGATAGTGAGGATCTTATAAAGGAGAATATTTGTAGCTCAGGATTGAAATGATGGGTGCTTGAAGCTCTCTGAGCTTGGTTGTTTTCTTGCAGAGGTTTCATTACCCAAACTAGGTAACATCAGTGCTAGTCACTGCAGATCTTGTTTTCCCCACTGAGCTGGCTTTTTAGGACCTGTAATGTCCTGTAATGTCTTGCATTGTCCTGATTGTCATATGAGTGTGGGATACCAAGATCTGTGTGCTGTATTGTATACTAAGGTAGTTCCATCCTATGAGTCTTAAATACCTTCCCTCTTTTAACTACCTGTCTACATTTCTTCAATCCAAGTTACTTGCCAATGTCCTCAATGTAGATCCATATCAGGTGAATCAGCAAATGAATGTCTTGTTCACTCAGCATACAGCTTGATCTCATCCATAAAGACAATGTGGCTAATGGTAGTTCTGTATTCTAACCTTATGGCTGCAGAGGTTCAAGCCTGTGCTGAACAACAGCAGAGATAGCATATCACCTTGTCCTATCACCTTGTTCTACACTTGTTAGCTACTTGTGCAAGCTGTCTTAAGTTCATTTAAGTTGACTGTCCAGTGTTCCAAAGTCCCATTGATTTCTTGAGGGTGGTTCTTAAGATCCTGTTCACTTTGTATAATATCAACTGTTCATGTGTGCAGGATTGAGTTATAGGCTTTCCTGTAGCCAATCTGAATTGTGCTCAGATTGGTATGTCTAGACCTTGCATCCCTGATGACTGTCATATATTAGAAACTGGTGTCTTTCTCTGTGGTGCTGTTCCTAAAGCCCTTCTGAGCTCAGCTTAATGCGACAATAAGTAAGTATGTGTGCATGTGTATGTGTGTGTATTGCAATTTTTAGAATGATTCATGAGTTTGAAAAGTGCTTCAAGATCTTCATCTTCCTATTAGTCAGAAAATATTCTGTGAAAGATTCAGATCAATGTTCCAAAGTGCAAGCAGTTGCTTCTTGTCTATCCAGCAGGTTCTTCCCTCCAGTAATAAAGACTGTAATAAAGACCCAAGACTGTTTAATCAATATTTCACCCTCCAAATTATTCTAAATTATGGAAGTCTTTTTAATTTTTCTGACTGTGTCCTATTTCAACATATATAAATGCAATAGGATAAGTGCAAAGAAAAGTATATTTAAATCCTAGAAATTTTCAGTACTGTATTTATGGTTTTCATTCTTCCTAATTACAGGGAATGCTTTCTAGTTTACAGATTAATGTAATGTTCTAGTATATACATGTTTATGTAGGGTGACATCCTAGAACTACTTTACTGGCATTCATTCATTCATTTTAAAAAAATCTTTCCTGAAATACACCAATGCCTGTACATTACAAGGTGATAAGAACAAAATTTATTACTTGTATTTTCCCTAGCAATTCTTAAAAATATAAGGCCTCAAAAATATTCATAATCTTATCTTCTAAAGATAAAGTCCCTTTGTAAAATTTAATTAAGAATGCAACAAGATTGTCTAAAATTTACTGTACTGTGCCAAAAGCACTATGCCTATTATATAATTTAATTGGTTAAAGTACATATTCCCTCAGTTTAATTTTTGACAGCCAGATCCATTTATCTATGTTATATTCCTCACAATAATAATTTCAAGTATGCCATCTTTATTCTATATTACTGTCCTGTAAAGCAATACAAATCACTTTTCTGAGGATCAGAAGACTACCTAAAAGACTAAATGCACCTGCAGTTTTAGAATCTCAGAGACGAGAAAGTAGCTTGCACTATTATAAATGCTTCTATTGTAAATACAATTACTACACAGATTAATACTCTCAAATACATTTACATTGGTTAGAAGAATCTGAATTTCAAATCATATCACTGGAAGTGATAATGTTAGGAAGAATTCTTCCAAAATTTTACTACATGGGTAGCCTGTAATATCAAGATTATGGAATCAGTTTGACATCCTTTTCTGCAACTGGAGAAACAGCTTCAACGTCAGATGAATCAATTCTCTTCCTATCTCCCTGTCACACTTTTTTCTTCTGAGATGGCTGAATTTGGTCTAGCAGGGGTGTACAAGACTGTACTGGTAATACCTGTATAGCTGAAATAACAAAAAGCAAGTTTGTCTGCCAAGACCTTCTTCTGTTCTTGAAACAGCTGGCAGTAGATGGCAAGAATGAAAAAAACAATGAATGACTGCAAAGCAATCTATTCTGACACTTTTTGTCTAGCAAGCTACAGTATTTACTTTCTTATTTGTAGGATATTGTCACTGAACTTTTGAAATTAGTTCATTCAAATGGATTTTTAGCCCTTCTTGTGTCCTATGTCTAGTCCAAGTCTAATTTGTCTATCTTAAATTAAAAACAAAATAATTCTCCTCAACTGCCAGACAATTAAACAACCATCAACTTAAGCCGGCAATAAACAGTCAAAAGCTTGTAGCAAGGACAGGCCTTATGCTAATAATTCTTACAAATGAAACAAACGATTATTTGAGCTCCTCTTTCTTAAAAGTGAAAATGGTATTTTGCAAACCACACAATTTTACTACTCATAAAAAGTCAATATGATTAGAAGTCCTATTTTCTAATGTGGAAAAAAACACCAAATTTGTCAGAAAAACTGAAAAGATATATTTCAATGAGTTTTCAATAAATCAGAATGATTTAATGTTCTGTAATATTATAGAGTTAAGAAATAAAAGAAGTGGTTTTAAGGCATTAGAATACTGTTACATTTTAGTTAGAACCCCAGCACCTGTTTTAGCAGCTGAAATAAAATTATTTAAAAAGTGACATGGCAATGAAAACAAATAAATCTCCTCAGGGGAAAAGTGGTTTTGAACCTAAACTTATGCATTTTTATAATATGATAAATTAAAATTAACTTAAACATTAAACTTTAGTTAAACAGTTGTTCATCAAACTGTTCTTTACAGACTGCTCCCGTATGAGAAAACAACTTTTGCCTGTAATACTGATGAAATCTAAGATAAAGAATAAACTAACTTAATCAGTCTTATTACTTTAATGCAAGGAAGAATACCTATGCAGTATAAAGGGCATTAATTTTGGAACAAATTATATATGTACATGAACATTGGATAGAAAGTCCACCTAAAGTTACAGTGAAATCTATCAACTCTTAGCAGGCCATACAAGATATTTCAGTACTTGGAACAAACTACTGCATTCATTTATTCTATAGTGCTTCCTGAAGTGGGTTATTTTTTCTGTCTTCAGTATTTATTATACAGACTTTATACAGTTAGTTTTTGCTTCATTCATTCAGTGATCACTCAAAGTTACAATGGTTCTAAATGAAGGGGAATTAAGGTTAGTCCTAGGAGTTGAGGCTGTTGCAGGTCCCTGTGAGGACCCAGACTGTTGGGGCAATATGCTGACTCTGTAAACTACCTAGAGAGGATTGTAAGGCACTGTGAAGCAGTATGTACGGCAAGTCTAAGTGCTATTGCTATTACATGATGGCATTCTGAGCATTTGGTGCCCAACTCAAAATAGCAATAGCATTCAGCCCTAAGTGGTTTACAGCATCAGCATATTGCCCCCAATAATCTGGATCCTCATTTTACCAACATCTGAAGGATAGAAGGCTGAGTCAACCTTGACCCGCTCAGAATCGAACTGGAGTGAGCAGTGAGTTAGACCTGCAGTACTGCATTCTAACCACTGTGCCACCATGGCTCTACTGCAATCATGTAATTGTGATTTCTGCTGGGTTCCCATAAGCAAAGTCAATGGGGAAATTGGCAGAACTTGGAAGATATGATTATATGAGATCCTTGCTTAATGACCTGAAAATGGTAAAAGCTACAAAACTAAGTTTTTCTCTCAATTTTATCAGAAAAAGGAAAAAGAAAGGGGAAGGGAAAGCTGGTTAACATTAAGGAGACTGTGGGCATACTATTCTTTGGCATTTTCAATGTTAGTGTTCAAGCCACACAGGTAAGCAGAGATAAAGGTGGGGAATATCAAATATAGAAGATCAATATGACTGTCTATCTAGCAGCAAAAGGTTATGATGTCAGGTTCAGGCGTTCTAGCTGCTTGGATACCTTAAGTCAGGTACTGTAGCTAGAGATGCTGCTTTCATCTACATAAGATCCTGGAAGTCCAGATTTATAATTGTAAAAATAAACTCCTGGAATGAGTCACTTTTTATCCACTTGGTTGAAGGACTGTGCATAAATCTGTTGTGTGAACTCTATGTAAACTGGAAAAAAACCACGTATAACCTACCACTGCCATGAAGCATATATTCAGGAACATTTATGTGTGCATAGGACATGTCAACAGCCTACAAGAGCCATGGTGGCACAATGGTTAGAATGCAGCCCTGCAGGGCTAACTCACTGCTCGCTCCAGGAATTCAATTCTGACCTGCTCAAGGTTGACTCAGCCTTTCATCCCTCCGAGGTCGATAAAATGAGGATCCAGATTGTTGGGGGCAATATGTCAACTCTGTAAACCACTTAGAGAGAGCTATAAAGCAGTATATAAGTCTAAGTGCTATTGCTACTTGCTATTGATCTTATATACCAGCAATTTGTGTTTACTGCTGTGGATGCTCTTACATAAATTTGCAATTTATGGGCAATATACATGTAGTTTAAATTACATGCTGTAAATTAAAATACTTATCTTTGTGTGATGCTGAATTCTATATGATGGGGGGAGGGGAAGCTTTGAATTGCGTAGACATAATTCTCAACATTCATGCAATGCCGTCTTTTTTAGGTCTAGTCAACATTTAAGTGCTGTGGAGTTCAAAAATATGTTGTTTCCAGTGTTATCAGATTACCAATTCCACAGACAACATGACACATTATTCTAAATATTGGTTTACAAGCCCATGCACGCGCTGGCGGGGGAGTGAGACAATATAGGACGATTAAATACATCAAGATTAGGATTGCGAGTACCATTTCCCTTAATGACTATATAAGCATTTCCCCACCGTCGTAATCAATAGCTATTTACTTATGCAAGTCATCCCCCCCCCTCCTCAAAAAAGTCGTTTCAGTCTCTTTTCCGTAAGGGTTACTTCCGGCCCCTTTACAGATGTTCTGCAGAAGTCCCGAAAGTCGCCCACCACTTCACCTTTTCAACTGATTCATGAAATCACAGTCAGAGTAGGAGGAGAGCGCAGAGCCGGAAGTCCTTCCCCGAGCTCCCATTGGTCTTTTACTTTATCAATCAGGCGCCGGAGGACCAACACACCGCCAACCGCTGCCCCGCATTTTCCTTTAAGTAGGGAGACCTAAGAAAAGGAGTTCTGTGCCTCTCTTGCCCTTTCCCTTCGCGAAGTCTCGTTTCTTTGTGGTCTGTGAATGTGAGTCCTTTCAGCGTTTTTGTTTCAATCCAGTTCTCCCTCTCTCCGCCCCGCCCCCGCCGCCTGCTTCCCCGTCGCGCGCTCACGTTTCATTGGGCAACATCTGGCAAGGGAACCCCAGTACCGTTAGAACGGGAGTGGTGGTGGTGGTGGAGTGGAGGGCCGGCGCGAGGCATTTTCAGCTCGCAGGCAGCGTGCCCCGGTTTCTTATCCCAGGATTCCGAACGGCGGGGACCATCCAAGGCAACTCGCCCGCCGTTTGGGTTGCAGCGGGTCTCGCCGCCGCCGCCGCCGCCTTTCCCTGCCTTTCCTTAGCTCCGCCCTCGCAGCCCGCCCCCACACGCCCCTTACCCTCGCGCCGCCGAACCAGGAGCAAGAGCGGGCGAGAACAGCGCTGCTGCTGCTGTTTTTGCTGCTGCCGCCGCCGTCGCAACGGGCCCGCGGTGGCGAAGTAACTACCCATGTTTCCTTCTGGAACCCCAGCAACCGCAACGACTTGGGGGAGAGGCGTCCCATCGCTCTTGGCTCTGCCGGCCTCGCTGCGGAGGCTTAAGGCGTGCCGTGTAGTGCTGCTGGCTGCTCGGGCTGCTCCGAGGGACGGAGAGCGTTTACCAAGAAACCGGAACCAGGAAAACTGCTGGGATTTAATAACACGGGCTGCGCTGCGGGCTGTTGTGTGCCCGGAGGGAAGGCAGGGAAAAGAGAAAACAAGAGATCGCAGTGAGGCGGCGGAAAAGCTCACCAGGCGGCACTTCTTGGGGATACAGTTGCCTAACCTTCGACCTCTCCAAAGCCGGCCAGAGAAAAGCAAAGGAGGCTGACGGTTGTTTGAAACTCGTCTTGGATTCTGTGGATTTCACAAAAAAGCAACTTTCCCTTTCCATTCTGGAATTTATTTTCTTTTCTCGGTACTTTTAAAAACTATAACGGTACCCACAGACAAGTATCGCGTATAGTCGCCGACTTGTACGTATTTTTAATGTATTTGTCCCATTATATACACGGTGTGTAAGAGAAGAGATGTAATTGTGTTGTTTTTTTCATCCCCCTTCTGCTACCAGATGCTGGGTGGGGGAGGGAGGTTGATAATATGGCTGTTAAAACCTTTGTTATTCGACAGATGTATTTGTCCCTTGTGAACCATATGTGAAAAGAATTATTTGTGAGAAAGTGTAAGTTTTAACATGGAAAAGTGAGCATCAAAACTCAGGGGTGGGTTGATAACATTTTTAAAGGTATAAAAAGAGCTAGAAGGAAAAAAATAACATAATGTGCATGATATTTAAAACTATATTTCCATAAGATGTGCTCTATTAACAGATAATGATATTTGATCAAATTTCTTTCTCGATAAAGATGATCAGGTTTTTCTGGTTCATCTTCACTCTCAAAAGTTAAAACTCCCAGTATAGGTTGCATATATTTTTCCGTAGAGTGACTGTGTGAAATCTATGTTGATATATTTTATGGTTGGGCAAGAGAGACCAACAATATCACAGCATTACATTCTTTTTCTTTTCTAAATTTAAGATCCCAGATGGCCAATTCCCTCAATGGCCGGAACCCAGGTGGCCGAGGAGGAAACCCCCGCAAAGGGCGTATTCTGGGATTCATTGATGCTATTCAGGATGCAGTTGGCCCCCCCAAGCAGGCAGCTGCTGATCGCAGGACTGTGGAAAAAACTTGGAAATTAATGGATAAAGTGGTGAGTCTGTAAATTATATTTGTAACAAAAATATATGTACACAGGAATTATTGATGAATTAAACAAAACTGTGTGCTTTCAGGTTCATTATAGATAGTACATGCTTATTCAGCCTTTAGCTATGTTTATTCTAGTATAAAAGAATATTAAATATACTTTAAATATACAGTTCTTCAATTGTAAAATTGTTAATATGCAGTTTGTTTCATATATACTACTTTGGCATATGTTGTTGTACTGTTTCCTTGAAAATGAAACTTCAGTTCAGGCAATCAGATTGAGATCCAGTTTTAATGTTAATCATATGAATGTAATCAAATTTGCTGAAAAAGAAGCAGGTTTATTATTTTGACTAGATGAACAACAATTTAAACATTATCCTCAGTTGTAAGGGCCCAATAAAATTATATTATGTAACCAAATCTTGAAAAATTATTCATCTTTGGAGGATAAAGTAACATACTAAAATATCATCTGTCTTAAACTAGAATTACTTATTTTGTAGATTATTACAGTAAGAGCATGTATTATGAAATACAGATAAAAGGAAATGAGAGTATGTTTTCTGAACAAAAATGTGTATTGTTATGGAGGATATTCTTAAAATTATGTATGCAATATTTGTGATAAGCTTAGTATAATGGCCCATTTTCAATCCTTGCAAATTACATTTTACACATAGATTTATGCATGTGCTTTAATTGTAGTGTTCATAATACATCACAAGTGTAAGTAGAAAATGCTAAATACATAGAACTATGTAACATAGCCTATAAAACATTTTTAAAAGGTCACCAGTCTGTCTAATAGTACATGTTTCCATGAAGACGTTCATGGATTCTTTATGAGAAATAGACCTGCTATAAACAGTTTAAATAATTTGCATTGATTAACAAAGACACAAGTTCCTTATAGGGTTTTATGCATTATATTATTCCCACTACTGTTGTATGGCAAGGTAGTTACAGTTTTTCCCAGGAATTGAATCCTGATGTGTTATCAACTTTGGTGCCTCATGAAAGTTGTTTAAATATAGTATTACCAAAATTGTGGCAATAACTCAAGATTGAAATATATGTGTATAAAAACCTTATATGTGTATAAAAACCTATTTTCTTAGAATCAGTTCAGAATTTAAAATGTTAGTATAAATTTATTGTTGACTCAAACCTGTGAAGACTGGAAAGTTTTTTATTTAGTTGCCAAGTCATTGTCAATTCCAAATCTGTATTTTTTTAATTGCACTTTTACATTTAGTTCATAGTGGTTTACTACAATTTTAAAAGAACAAACTTTAAGATTAAAACGTTAAGAGTAAAAACAATTACCTGCTGAAGTTATGGGTTATACTCTTCTTAAAAAATAAACTTTTGTTGGATTCCAACATTAACCTGGAAGTTGGACATGGTGACCTCAGTTACTCTTTCTACTCTATAATTCTGTGAAATACAATAAGTTGAAATGTTGGCAAATTAAAGGACATAAGTATGCAATTCTAGTTATATTACATTGAATATAACATAATAAGCTGTCTATACCAGCTCAAAATGTTTTACAGTCTGACTTTGCCTATTAAAGCCTGAATCTTTCACATTATTTTCTATTCTGATGTTTTTGGCCAGAAATGCCAAAAATTGAATGTGGGGCATCTTGCATAACCTCTTGACTTCTGATTATGCTCTTCCCAAAGTAAAAACATTTTTAAAAGATTTGGCCATGGTTTACTTTTACCCGATGACTGATCCATATTCAATATTGCAACATTATCCTGGGACAAGTACATTAGCCTTCATTCATGAAAGTTGGCTATTCTCTAAATGCATAATATAATTCTTATTAGCTTTTCAGTCTTAGTTTTTATTTAAAACATTTATATCTTGGCTGTTTACTTCAGATTTCAAGACATATTATAATAATTAAATATTACTGCTGAAAAATTTCTTCGAAAGAACTCGTTTAGAAAAGCTTATGAACCCAAATGGTTTAAGCAGCCATGTCATTTTTTTAGGCTCATGGTTGTCTCATGACTGCTATATCACTATACTTACTATATCTGCAAGCAATTTGTGCGTGTACATATCTGGAAATCGTCAAGAGCAGTTCCCAAAGCAGCTACACGAGTGCATGAGTCTGGAAAAAGTTTACCAGTTGGGAACCATATTTTTAAATGGATTTGAAAATAATTTGAATTAACTTTCTTGGTTATTTTAATTGTTAAAGAAGAGGTAGCCTGCAATCCCAAATTCATAGAATAGTTAGGTATCTTTTTTCTGAGCTAGACAAAAAAAATTCACACACAGCTGTGTACCTTAACATTAATTCTTGATCTCCTTGCCACATTGTATTTCAATTGAGAAGGGCTTTTTTTTTAAGGATTTGCACAATGTTATGACATAGTAACAGTTTAAAATCTTAAAACACAAATCAGCAGCAGGAATATTAAAATTTATAATTGATAGCATTTTGATGAGTTAGTGTGATATATGGAATCAAGGGCTTAATCTGAACACCTGTAATATTTGTGAATTCGGCCAACAAAATTAAATGGGATTTTTATTTGTTTGATGTGTTTTCTTTTCCTTCCCATGGTCTGTGTACGTGAAAAAAACGTTACTTAGTTTAAAGTTAAAAGATTCTTGTTTTTATCATTTTTCAACTAAAAATTAAGGACTTAAGGGATTCATTTAACAAAAATGGCAAGAAAAGTTGTAAAATGAGGCAAAATTCACTTAACAAACGCCTCACTTAGCAATGAAACTTTGGGCTCAATTATGGTCATAAGTCGAGGACTACCTGTACTAATCATACTATTTATCTAATTTGAGAGAAATTTCCAATGAGATATGTCTTTAGGTTTAAACCTCTGCCGCATGCAATCTGCTGAGATATTTTGGCACATCTTAAAGTTTGTAGCACTGGTTTTAAGTTTCTTCTTTGATACTAGATGATCTGGGATAATAAGCTACTAAGGTCATGTGCTGTAACATAAAACTTGAGAGTACAGGACATAGCTTTGCAGACATGCCAACATGCCCCTCCCCCATACAAAATGGCAGAGTATATATTGATTAAATCTGGATTTAGAAAATTGTGCATTAAAATTTGTTTACTCAGATCTATATTTCATCAAACATTATTAGTCTTGGGATCAAGTTTTGAGAAACTTCAATAATATTTTAATATTATAACTGATACTAAAACTATAAGAAAACATTTAATTTGTTTAAACATTTGGTTCACTATCATAATTTTTAAGAGCCTTCATATATTGGGCAAAGTTCTAAGATCTGGAAGTTCAAAAAACAACTTCTGGTCTCCTGCTTGCCCTGTGCCCACTACAATTCAGTGTGCTCTCCTGAATAATATATTGTTCTGATATATGAATTTGTTTCTCAGAATTGTTTTCCTCTCCATCTAATTTATAATATTTTTTTTCAAACTTATGATAACCTATGTAGCAATCCCTCAGTCTGATATATATCATGATTGTTAGAAAGATCTTTTGAAAGCTGAATGGAAGAGAGTAGAGATATATTCTTGTGATATAAAACTTCCATATTTGAAGCAATATTTATATTCACATTAATATTTTTAAACAGAAACATCTGATTTATAAACATAAGTAAAAGATTTTTTTAAATATCTTCTATAAATAGGCAATGTCTAATTTTGTACATTGCTTTTTCTTAATAAACAGTAATTCACAACAAAATGTAGCTATTGTTATCTAGCAGTTATTTCTATGATACCATTCTAGCTTACATCACTGGTATTTCCCTGATTGTCTCCTGTCCAAATTCAAATTAGTAGTTCCAGTTTTCCTGATTTGTTGCTACATCTTGTAATAGAAAATTCTGTACCTTGACTATGACTGAGTTTATATTAAGGAATGTGAGTTGGGAAATGGGGCTTGGTGTGATATGTAGTCATATATTATGGTCTGTAAACTGGTTAGTGTGAAACAGGACACAGTAACTAATGAATAAAACAATCTGTAACCTGGTTCAGTAGTTTCCCAACTTGAAAGCTTTCCTGATGTATGGACAGAATTCTTACAGAATTCACAGTGCCAAGTAAAGATATATTTGTTTTTTATTTCATTTTTATAGAAGGATCTCTTAATAGAGAATTACACTCGGGAAATATTGTATAAAGAAAACTAGTAATTTTATCAAAATTTGACAAAATTGCAGCTATCAGCTCAACAAACTAAAATGTCATCAGTAAATCTATTCACTGTTTTTTTTTTAAACTGACATTTCATATTGCTAATAGACACATGATTTTTATATAATCTAATCTATTTGGATTAAAAAAAATTCTTAAAATATTTTGGAATCTGCTTGTTGTCTGTCTATCTATCTATCTATCTATCTATCTATCTATCTATCTATCTATCTATCTATCTAATCTGACTGACCCAATTTTATTCTGGCCAGATTTTCGCACCTGAAAGTCATTAACTCTGCACAGGAGGAAGTGGTGTAATGGGTGTGAGGCCATTCTGATTTCCTGTGCTAAGGAAGCCTGCTTCATTTACCGTGTAAACATATTTTTTATTAGCATCCTTTGGTATTGAATAGAATGATAATAAGAAAAAATTCTTAGCTGTGATAAAGTATATATTTATTGTATTTTAATGTATCTTTGCTACTAGAATAGAATAGAATACTTTATTGGCCAACTGTGATTGGACACACAAGGAATTCGTCTTGGTGGAAATACTCTCAGTATACCTAAAAGAAAAGATACATTCATTAAGAATCAAGAATCATAACGTACAACACTTAATGATAGTCATAGGGTACAATCAGTAATCAAATCATACTACAGTAAATATAAATAGTAAGGATACAAGCAACAAAGTTACAGTCCTACAATCACAAGTGGGAGGGGATGGGTGATAAGGAGTGATGAGAAGGTTAATAGTAATAGTAGTGCAGACTTTGTAATAGTTGAACAGTGTTGAGGTAACTGTTTAGCAGAGTGATGGCTTTTGGGAAAACCCTGTTCTTGTGTCTAGTTGTTCTGGTGTGCAGTGCTGTATAGCATTGTTTTGAGGGAAGGAGTTGAAACAGTTTATGCCCGGGATGTGAGGGGTCTGTAAATATTTTCACAGCCCTCTTTTTGACTCGTGCAGTATACAGGTCCTCGATGGAAGGCATGTGGGTAGTAATTGTTTTTTCTGCAGTCCTAATTATCCTCTGAAGTCTGTTTCTGTCCAGACTACTAAGTCTGGCCAATTTGCTTTTTACTTTAAGATCCATATAAAGACTTAATTTATAGTTTCATACTTTAAAAATTATTTTGGGACTTTTTGACTTTGTTCCTTATAAAATATGGAATCAATGAAACATTTTAAAGGAACATTGTTCCGCAATGCAGTCTTAATCTAGAATGAAGCTGGTCCTTATGAAGAACTGTTTAAGGACAGATTTACAAGGGCTGCTTTCCATGGTGCAATTGCAGTTAGATATCCACATAGAAGTATGCAGGTAGTAATTTGGTGTGTAGAATTTCTCTTTCTTTTCCTTGAAAAATCTAAAAAAGTTGTTTTTTCAAGAAATAGAAATCTTGGCCTTTTAAAAATGGGGCAGTTTATTATTAGCTAAATGCGACCTATTGCTTAATTATATACTGTACTATGGTACTTATACCAAAATACACACTCAGTCTTTAGACTAAAATGTTCTTGAACAGGGGATTAACAATTTGTAAAAAATTTATGTTACTACATCTTGTTATTATAAAATGAGTGTGCTTTCTGGTCATCTTGTTCATGGAAACTATAAAATAATACAACTATATGAAAGTTGAATTAGAAAATAATCTCAGAAACCCCAAATATGATCCTTGGACTGATTCCTTTCACCTGAAACATTAGTTTATTTATTAAAACATTTTTAAAAAACAGACAAAACTACACAATAGCTGAAATGTACCAGTAGCTGAAAAGGAAACTTGGTAGGATGGTCTTTAACTTAGAACTATAATTGGAACCAAATTTCTATTACCAAGCAAGGGAATTATTAAGTGATTTTATGACCTTTTATCATGTTTTTTAAGTGAATCCCTGCAATTGTTAAGTGAATCACATGGTGGTTAAACAACCCTAGTTTTCCCTATTGACTTTGCTGGCTGAGAAAGTCTCAAATGGTGATTGTATGACTTGGGCATGCTACAACCCATGTTGGTTACCAAGTACCGTAATTTTTTTCCTCATAGGGATGCTACAGTGGTTGTAAATATGAGGATCAATTGTAAGTCACTTTTTTAGTGTTGTAACTTCAAATGATCATTAATTGAATTGTTTGTATATTATTTGCACACAACATATGTTTTGCTAAAAGACAAAATACTGACAGTATACTTTTTTCTTTTAATTGGCTTTGGTCTTTGCAAGAACCTTTATTGATATAGGTAGCTGTGCTACTTCTTCGGTTTAAGTTTGTTGGCCTGTGGAGTAAAAGAAGAGCCCTGTTTTCTTTCATGGGGTTTGTTATGTCTTTAATCAGATGGAATACTTGTTACACACAAGCAACATGTGTAAGGTTTTGACTTATCTGTGTAATGACAGACACCTATTTTCATTTCTATATATTCTTTTAAAAAATAGAATTTTTATTATGTATTTGTTTTGCTGAATTTGGAGGCTATCCAACCCTGACGACTTTGAGAAGCTTACTAATAAGATAAAACAATATAAAGATAATGGTATTTGGATACTATGGAATCCCATTGGGTGATTTGAGGGAAACCACTGTCTCTCAGCTCAACCTACCTTACAAAGTTGTTTTGGTGATAAATAGAAAGTCAGTACATGCTGTACTGACTTCTACAAAGGTGAGATATACAGTAAAATAACAACTGTAACATAAGTTGTGACGAACTGCTTGGGCAGATTTGTGGTTTAAATAGATAAACAGTTCTATACCATGTCCGGTGTGGAAATTGAAATTTCTATCAGGATGGTGAACAGTTAAATACTTCTTATGGCTTGTAATGGAAGGAAAATGTGAAAACAAATACATAGAAGAAAAGAGATGAATATAGTTCTTTCCTCATTTTTGAGGTGTCATCAATAAGGTGCTGTATTTATTCAATAATCTCAATCAATTTTGTCTTTACATCTTGCTATTTTTATTTTTCTCTTTTTGTTGATCAATAATACTAAAATTCTTTCTACAGTCATTCTCAGTTGGAAACCAACAATGTTTTTGACTGGATTCATAATATGTCTCTGTAAGTCCATAGAGATTCTCAGTCATCCAGGTTATGGTTGTCCCAAAGCTGCTTTTTGAGGAAGCAACTGGACTTTTTTTCTATGGGATAGGTTTCTGTATTTGAACAGTTGAGTTCTAGATAATGTTATAACTTAGGTGTAAGCCTTCCACCACTATCTTACTCATGTACAATAAATTTTGAGATAGGTGAACTTAATTGTTAAATTTATGTACATTATTCTTTAATTGTAGGTCAGACTGTGTCAGAATCCCAAACTTCAATTGAAAAATAGCCCACCTTACATACTTGACATTTTACCGGATACGTACCAACACTTGCGACTTATTTTGGGCAAGTATGATGATAACCAGAAACTTTCACAGCTCAGTGAAAATGAATATTTTAAAATCTATATTGATAGCCTCATGAAAAAGTCAAAACGAGCTATAAGACTTTTTAAGGAGGGAAAAGAAAGAATGTATGAAGAACAATCACAGGACAGGTAAGATAATTTACATATCTATCTAAACTGTTTAATTCTTTTAGTATATATTTACGTTTTTTTTCTCTAGGAACATTCTATATGCTTTCTGAACAAAATTCATCAGGCTTTTTTTGCTATTCAGAGTGAAAATACATAACATTTTAATGTATGTGCAAGTTTATATTGTTCAACTTGATAGCCTTTTGACGTGTTTTCCTAGAGAGCCACAATTGAGGTTTGATTTGGATCCTTAGACTTTGCACAAATAAATATTAATTTGTTTGGAAATACCAGTTTGTAATATAATTAGTTTCATTTGTTTGTAAAATAGTTTTGCATATTGTTAGACCAGTTGCAGTTTAATTATATGTTTGGGAAGGCTTTTAAATGTCAGTGCTGACGCTTGTTTTCCTGTGAGCTAATAGTATTAGATGAAGTTTTTGAAGTCGGTTATGGAACTAGTTATATTTCTATATATATATTTATATATATAAAATAATGATTATAATCTAAAATATATATTCTTTAGTTAATATTCCAGGTATATTTATATTTATTTATATTCCAGCTATATTTTCATAACTAATGTCTTAATATCATTAACAGAAATTTAAATGCCATCTTTTTTTGTCTGCTAGAGCCATTTCATAATTTAAAATGAGTACCAGGCATTTTTAAAATTTAAAATTAAGAATTTTTATGATACAAGAAAAAAGGTACCCACCTATTTGATGTTTTAACTTCATTTATAGAAAGGATTTTTTTTCATACTAAACATTCCTATTTTGGATAAAGTTATTAGCTAAGTAAATAATTAGAAGCGTTGCTTTTAAAAAGAAATGCTGAAAAATGAGGAAAACCTTTTGACTTTGAGACAGGAAAGTGGGTGGCAAGCATGAAAAACTCAGTGGAAGAACTTAGTAGTTCTATCCTTTCATTGCATGAAAGGATTTCTTGATTTCTGACTTTAAAGTGGCCTAATCCATCATTTCATATTTGAAAGAGCTTAGGTCCCCCCCCCCATAAGTAGACTTAAACATCAAATGGATATACACAGAAACAGTTTTATATTTAAAGGTTAAGTCACTTGTTACTAATTGGCTACACTTCAGGTAGCAAGCTAAGTAAATTGAAGTTATTCTGCTTTGGATATGTTCAGTTGTTTTGCATCATTTATAAAACTAGTTAAATTTTGCCTATGTATAAGTGTTGTGCCATGAGAAGTAAAAATGACAATGCAAAGCGCAGGTGAAGTGTATTAGTGCCTGAGATATTACATTGAGTTCCATACAGAGCACATAAGTGTTATTGAATAACTAGACAATCTAATTCATTAAGTTATCATTTTAGAGACATTTCCTTACCAGATTCCTCACTGCCTTCAACAATGGCAAAACTTCTAGTATACATGAAAAGTTCTTACAAATTCAAGGAGAACCTGTCTTGAAAGTAGCTCATATTGAACTATATAACTCACTCAAAAATCAGATATTGACCACGGGAGACTTTTTATGACATTTTATATTGTCATAAATTCTTTTTGATAATTTTTATATCATAAACTGTTTTATAAAATTTGCCAAACATTTTATTCCATGGGAATCAAGTATCCTAGATTTTGGATGCGCTTTGTCAGTTAGCTTTTTTGAGGTAACTGATATAGATATAGAATGATGGCATCTGAATACCTTTTTCAGGGCTTTCATGGCCTATTCTGTCAATGGATAGTTTGTGGCATATTTTATGGTTGCTTGTTCCTTTACTGTTGTTGATAGATCCTAAAACATAGAAGCCATCAACCATTTTTATGTCTTCATTAGTAATTCTAAATTGGCAAAAGTAGACTGATACTAAAAATTGCTTTCCAAATCAAATATCTGATGACATATGCTCCTGGGTACAGAAGTAGTCTGGTGGAGTTACAAGGGCACTGCAAATCAAGAGGAAAGTATTAATATACTGGACAGAAGTTTAGTTTTTCTTTTTTTTAAGTGGCCAAGGCAAGATTAGGTAGTATATATTAACAGAAACATAATATTATTGCCATCAATAGAGGAAGGATGATTTTTGTCTTCTCACACATGAATAAATATTGTTTTCAAATATAATTTGAACAAATTTTATCCCAATAAAATTCATACCAAATTTATTGGATAACACAATCTGGCGTTGGAAATGCTTGGACTAATAACATATCAACTCAACTACATCCTGACTATGTTTTTAGTAATTTAAATATTTTAATTAATTAGGAGCCCAACTTACTAACAAAATTGAAAGTCCATAAAATAAAATATTTCAGATTCTGTTTATTTCTGTTTAATGTAGAAATGTTAATAAAATCAAACTTGGCTCTAGGATCATGATTTAATTAGGGCATCGGTCGGAACCCTGACAGAAACCATCTCAGTATAACTTACTATTGTAATCATGCTAATAGTTTGCCTGAAACTGATGAATATGATTTGTTGAAATGGTAATGGAACACTGTCACTAGAAACATGAACAAAGAAAAATCTTGGTTAAGACTAAAACCATTCTACTTTATATGTCAATAAACTATGGCTGGCTTATTATCACTTTGCTCAGTCTCTGAGTTTCAGACTTCCTTTTCTGTCACAGATCATTTATCTGTTAAGACTAATGGAGCTGTAAACATTTTTCAGTAGAACTTATCGTTTGCCAGTAGGTATATATATCCAATCACTTAAGACCAAAATAATTGGTGCCTTAGCATTGTCAGACTTCAAACAAATGAAGCTAACTTCATTGAATAACTTACAACATATTGTTTTAATTTTAAATATGAAAGGGTGGCTATTTATGTAAGAAGAAGATGAAATAAACAAATATGTATGGCAATCACTTTGAAGTGGCACATTGTTTCTCTAGTTCTGAAAAATTTTATATGGTAGAGTGTTTTTCTTCCCAGTGTCTCTGTGTTTGTATATGCATAAGAGAATTAATGATAATTGCTTAAGAATCTTTATGTTATTCTGTCATTAAAACATCTTAATTTTCAAGTTTTGCACAATAGGATTTCTATAATAATGTTTTTACAGTTTTTCTTTCATCTGGAAACATCAAGATCTATATTAGTTCAACTATATAATTAAATGGAAAGAATTAGATGTTCATTCTTTAATTTGAAATCATGAAAACCTTGGTTGGTAACAAAAGTATATTGGATGATTATTTAGCTTATACCTGTAGTTAAGATGAAAAATATGGTATGTGATTTTAGAAAAATGTTGTACAGTTGTGCCATTGAAAAATTGAATAAGTATACTCATTAACATTTTACTTTTAACATATTTCAACATAGATATTTGATCTTCATTTTAATAATATTAATATATAAAGGGGATGGAATATAATAAATATGTACTTTTATATTTGCTATTCCACTGCATAATTTAAATACACATAAACACAGATTTTGCATGTGGAAAAAATAAATACACTGTTAAATTTATCACTACTCAAGATACATAAAATCAGAATCAAATGCAAAAGACTAGATACTAATGATTAAAACATCATTAGAGAAGATCTAGAAAGGATCTGTCTTATTTAAACATGAGACATTTAGTTTTATTTGTTTTTTGTTATGTGTGATATCACCATTCCTAGATTACAAGACCTCTCTGAGCCTTTCTGAAAGAAAGTTAAAGATGCCTATGAGCCTCAGAAGGGATTTTAAAAGATTGTCAAACAATTGGATATCAGTTATTCCACTATCTGAAAGATCATGTACAAGTGGAAAAGATTTAAAACAATTTTAGCTTGGCTCGGCAAGTTCACCCTAAGAATAGAATTCCGGATGTTGAAAAAAGTTTCTAAAAATCCCAGAGTTTTATTATTTGACATAAGAGAATTGTCATCATTATTAATGTAAAATTTATGAGTCTACTATTGGAAAGAACTCAACAAATTAGATCTAGGCAAATACCACAACTTCTGAAATAATGTGCTTTGGTTACACAAGGCAAAAACATATTATTTGGTCACCTTCCTAGAAGACATGTTTAATGAAAACCAATGATATCATTTTGTCAGAAGAACATCTTATCAACAGTAAAGCATGATGGTGGAAATGTTATGATATGAAGCTACTTTGCTGCATCAAGGCCTAGATGGCATACCATCATAGAATCCACTATAGAATTTGTCACTATTTGTCAGTACCTGAGGATAACGTGATTACATCTGTCAGAAGTTTGAAGCTCAATCAAAAGTTGAGTCATTCTTGCCATATGACCATATCACTAAACATTCCAAGAAATGAAGCTTTTTGAAATGGTCAAATTAAAGCCCAGGTTTAAATCACATTGAGATGGTCTGGGTGTTTTGAAATGGACTGTGCATATAAGGAACTTTTCAAACATTGCACAGCTGGAAAAAAAAATACATAGCAAAATGGGGAAAAGTTCCTCTCAGTTAATGTCAGAGAATAGAAAACAATTATTAGAACACCTATTTGAAGTTTTTTTTGCTAAAGGGGACAGTGCGTATTAGAGCAAAAGGTATACTTTTTCATACAAGAGTTTGCATTATTTTAATCATTAATAATCATGCAGAGGTCAAATAAATTGAAAACCACAAACTTAAATCATTCTAGGTGAAGGGGGGGGGAGAAAAAAGGGTGACAAAACCTGCAAAATTTCATAAGTGTGGATAGACTGAATGGGAATGTGCAATCCATACTGTGATTGGGTGTTATTCGGGATTTTAAAATATTGATTACCATCTCAAATCCATTTAGCTCTTTTAAAATTGCTACAATGAGCCTAAATTCTTGGGCTGTTAGCAGACATGATATTCTTCCGATTAAAATCGGAATTCCGATTTTTTTGGAAATCGCTCCCCCTTTCCCCCCTTCTTCTCCTCCTTCCCCTCCCTCGGAGGCCCCAAGTCAGGAGTTGCTACCGCCGGCGCTGCTCTGCGTGGCTCCAGTCCCGTGTTGCCTCAGGAAGGGAAAGGCAAAAAGGAAGAGCCGCGGCAGCGCTTTGCAACGG